CCCCCCCACCCCCATCTCTCCTAACTGAAACTCTGTACGAGCTCTGTCTGGGAGAGAATGCCTAAGTCTGAGCTTTGCTGCTGTGATTGAGTGATCACAATTGCAATGCTTTCCAGGCTTGAATGCAAATATTCAACAAATGCCTATTTCTCATATAATATTATGCATTTCTTTCATTTTTGCAAAAGGTGAACTTATCCTTTAAATATATGCTTATATAGCACAAGGTTTGGTGTGACCGTGATTATGGGATTAGAAAACATCCGGGACAAAGGTAGCAATTCCCACCTTGTCAGAGACCTGCTACTTGTGATTTGGCACCTCATGGCTTCTCCTATCTGTTTGTAGGTATCATACCAGAAGATTATCTGAGAGAACTGTTGACTACAATGGGAGACAGATTTACAGATGAAGAAGTGGATGAGCTTTTCAGAGAGGCACCAATCGACAAGAAGGGCAATTTCAATTACATTGAGTTTACACGTATATTGAAACATGGAGCCAAGGACAAGGATGATTAATTCTTTGTCGCAGCCGCTGCAAGATGTTCTCTAGCTTCCTGCCTTCTCTGAGTCTCTCCTCCTGGTAGAACTGTGCATGCATGTAGCTCTTTAAACCTTCTCTGTGTATTTATGGATTTATTCCATGCCTGTTTGGCACACGCACATCTGTATAAGCAAACTGGAAACAGAAGATGTAATTGTAACGTGTTATTAGGAAGTGTAAAGAATTCCTGCACCGACGACCAACAGATTTTTGACGTAAAGCTGGATTTTTTTTTTTTTGCTATTTTGTAATAAAAAATGGAAATAAATGACTGTCAATCAAAAAAAAATTCTCGCTGTGGTCTGGCAGAGTGGAAGCATTTCTCATAGTCTCAGTAGTTCGAGTGAAAAATTTGTCAGTGTCACCATACTTCTTGACTTCCAATTGTCTAAAACCATACGACGCATTTCACCTGCTAAAGATCACACTCCTACATCTGGCAGCTGCCTGCACTGCACATTGTTCTTTTCATCTCCTGGATAGACTGTCACACTAAGCAATGAGGGAGTCACCTAGGGAGTCCCATGGGGGCCAAGAAAGACGGCATGACTATGGCATGCAGAAACGGTCAGACACTTTTATTTTCAAATCTGTTACAATATTTCAGCATTTTATAAAATAAAAGTGTTTTTTATCAGGCTCTGTTTGGCAGTGGTGTTTATTTCAAGCTGTACCATGAGCACCTTCTGCATTTTGTTGTTGCTTACCCTCTCTAAATCCAAAACATCTATACTCTTTGGATAAAGTAGAGGTTGGCCAAAACTGTCAGGTTTGTTTTGCTTTGTGACCTATTGAGTAGATTTCTCTTGACTTCCTGTTCCACTTTAAGCATTTTGAAGGTGCCAATAAACCTCAGATCCAAGTCTGTTAGAGTTAGTCATAATAAAGCCTATTTTTTTATTTCTCCTTTGCTGGAGGCTGTTGCTCCTTTTTTTTTTTTCTTTAAAAGTTTATATTTCCTCGTTTTCTAGTGGCTCCCCGCAGCGCTTTTCCCCCCACCCCCTGCACGGGTGCCACCATCGTTCTAGTGGGGGAGCTTGTGCCCACTCGTTTCCGCAGTGGCTGTGTGCGTCCATAGACATGCACAGCCCTGTGGCAGGCCACACCCCCTCCCTCTTTGATGGCAGAAGGAGCCTATGGCTCCTCTGCCATCAGTATCCTCCCCCCGCAACCTGGAAGTTCGGGGAACAGAGGATCACTTCGGGACCGGCTGCGGGGACGAGCGCAGCTGACAGGTAAGTGTGTGTGGGGGGGGGTAGAAAAAAGGTGCTGGGCTGTTTTTACCCTAATGCAGAAAATGCATTAGGGTAAAAAAACGTCCAGACCTTAATGCCTGGTTCACACCTGGGTGTTTTACAGCGCGTAGGAACGCGCTGCAAAACGCCCTACGCCCAAAGAAGTACAGGAGCTTCTTTGGGGCGTATTTGTCACGTGTATCCATTAGGATACTGCCGGATAGCCCTCGGAAACACACGTTTGTCGCGTGTTTCTTTTACCGCAAATCGTGGTAGAAATGTGCTATTTCTAATCATGGATTGGGGTCAAATCGATCCATCAATTTTCACCGCAGTGATGGAAAAAAGTGGACGTTGCATGTTAGAAATTCCTTCGTGAGCCTCTGCCTCTTCGTAATGACATTTTCCACCCTGCTTGTAATGTATTTCTACTGAAGTGCAATGTTCTTGTATGGATAATCCTGTTTTATAAAATAAAGAATTTAAAAAAGAAATTCCTTCGATCAAGCAAAAATGTCAAACTGTGAATGTGGTTTTTGTTTGCAAACTCCATTCATTCCAAAATCAAATTTTAAATAAAAAAAATTTAACAAAATTTCATAACGACAATCTGCAAGTTTCTGATGCCGGTATTGAGCATTCTGATTGTTCATATGAGTGTTCGTGCAAAAACCTACCCGTGTATACTCCACTTTAGAAGGTGAAAGCAACACCAAAGCATACGAAATCTGACTTCTTTCTATTCCTGATGGCCGTGAACACGATCCTCCATGAATATTTTTTAACAACTGATCTAGGAAGGGCTTTTGTAAAACTTCTTGTTCTCCTGAAGAAAAGCACTTGAAGGTATTAAAGGACCCTCATCAAATGAAACATTTGAGGCTGCCCTTGCTGACCTCTACTGCTAGTTGCCTGGCTATCATGTGTATCCTGTAGCTAAACAACACTGTCGCTGACCCAGAACAAGTATGCAGAGAAAGACTTTTGACTTGCCTGAGATTTATACATGTTCTGGATCTATGAGTCAAATATTGAATCCAGTCTTGTCAGGACATCAGCCCAAAAGCTAGCATTTTAGGAGGTCATCAATGGCAGCCTACTTATTTCTCTTATTACAGGTTTACATTTAGGTGGAGTTGGGTTAGTTGAGGATATTGTGCTAGTCTTCCTATCCTCTGTCCCTCTAACCTTACGGATCATAGACTAGGCTGAGGTCCTCTCAGACTGCTTTTCTTTAAGTAAGGACCCAAACACAGACCTGTCGTGTCACCATCATTCAGATGGGCTGGAAATGTTCTGTCTGACCATCTATTCGGGTTCTACAATAACTTGCTTGTGTAATCTGTGTTTGTTAAAGTGGCGTTACAGTCAAAAATGTTTTCCCTCCCCCCAATGTTAATTAAAGCACTTACCTTAAATTATGTTTCTTAATCCAATCTTCTTTCCTGTCGTTTTCATGTGTCCCTCCAGCGCTGCGGCGGGTCTCCGATCCAGCGCTGACTCCACTGAGCTTGCTGGCACTTCCAGTGTCTGCATGCGTCCATAGACCTACCTTGTGTCTCTCCTCGTGTCCCTGCCGAAAATGTGAACGGCGCATGCGCCCGCCCAAGAATTTTCACGTTTTTGGACGGGGAAGACACAGGTAAGTATTAACCCTTTTCAAAGCTGGTTTTTTTTTTTACACTTTGTGCATATATCTACTGCTTGCTGGCAGTAGATATATGCAAAAAAAACAAACCTGAGGGTTTAATAACCCTTTAAACTAGCTAACAAATGCTGCATATTTAGAATGGATCTGAACATTTCTTTGTCATTTAGCAACCCCTCTCCCCCGATATGCTGATTTTGTTACCACTGAACAAAGACTTTTTAAAAACATCTCCCCCAGTGTGTAACACATATTTCAAGCTCACTTTGTGGCTGAGAGTTGATATGGCTACAATAAGTGGCTAAAACAAAAGCAGCTACAGCCCCAATCTCTGGAAGAACCAAGCCCAGGGATTAAAAACCAAAGTAATGTTCAGTCTTTAGGGCTACACTGACAATTCAAGTTCTTTCATACTGAGAAATGTAACCACTTGCTGGCAGACTCAACACTTCCTATACACTAAAATGAATCTGAATCCTATAAAATAACTGTCAACAAGTCATTAAAAGTGATGTTAAACTCAGAAGTCAAACCTTAAAAATACATTCAAGTACAATAAACTATTAACACAAATGTATGTTATCTGTGTTTCACTCGGCTGTAGATCCTCAAATCATCTCTGGATTGGTGCTGACACTGTCCTTTCTTCTGGAGGGGGGCTACTTTTGTTCCCCATGGTCCTTGTGTGCAGGGCTGCAACTGATTATTTTCATAATCGATTAATTGTCAGATCATTTTTTTTATTAAACTGATAAAAAAAAATGAATACCATAATTTAAAACAAAATACACAAATTCAGTCTTACAAGCAAAGTTTACGCCAGAATAAAGCTGCATGTACAAATTTTTTTTGCAATCGCACTGCACTGGAATTGTAGTACCGTGTGTTCCAGTGCAGGTGATCACACTGGGTGGGAAACGTGTTTGGGGTGCCATTGAAATGAATGACATTGCAACACACCTCCCGCAGCAGAACTGTCAGGCACAGCTGCCAGTGGCAAGATTCAGCAGACGGCAGCTAAATGTAAATACAGCAGGTACTGGGCTAGTGCAATAGCCAACCTGCTATTGGCCATTTCAAATTGCAATAGCCCACCAACTAATCGATAATGAGAATTAGTTGACAACTGTTCTCATCGATTATTATTGATTAGTTGGTTGCAGCCCTACTTGTGTATGTTGTAAGTAATCACTGCTCCAACCTTACAGCCATGATGGACTACAATCTTAATACGAGTTAGTAAACTAAATGTGAGATTGTATTCTATCACAGGAGCAAGCTTGGAGCGGTGACTACTTTACAACACACACAGGGACCATGGGGAACAAAAGTAGTCACCCTCCAGGAGGAAGGACAGTGTCAGCACCAATTCAGAGATGATTTGAGGATCTACAGCCGAGTGATACACAAATAAGATTTTGTTAATAGTTTTTTGTTAATAGTTAAGGTACCTGAACATATTTTTTAGGCTTAACTCCTGAGTTTAGGTTCACTTTAAGTCTCTCAGCAGCAGAGATTTTCCCCTATGTACCCCTACACGTGTCTCTTGCATTATGGTAACGCAAACATTCTGCCTTGTTTTAAAATGACATACATGAAATGATGGCTGAATAATCTGCTTTATGTAAAGAATATTGAAGAGAAAATCTTGTGCTTTGGTATCCAACTCTTTTATGTCTGATGTCCCCCAAAGGTTGAGGGTGCCCATAGACCATTGCCTGACTCCTGATCCACACAGAACGTTACAATCTTTTGTCTGTGAGCTACATACAGATGCTGCCAACCAAGGTTCATAGGGGAAAAAGTGACTGCAGAGGTTAGAAAACCTTGTCCAACCACTATCATTGTTCCCTGATACTCAAACACCATAGATGTCTGTGAGGGACTGTCTCTGCCCTGCTCTATAGCAGGATAGTATAGGGAACCATTCCTGTATAGAGACGCCTGGGGGGGCCAGCATATGAAAACCAAGGCACTCTCTGGATCACAGAATGATGTCTCGTTCTCACGTTATCAGTCAGTAGGAAGGGAGAGAATTTGATCATACCTGGTGCAGTGTACTTGGTCTTATCTTGATATGATCTAATCAGGCTGTTTTAGTTACAATGAAGTTGTGACTCCAGCTGTATACTGCCACATATAAGGTTACAGCCTTATCTGCAGGATATGACAACACTGAAACTGCTTTTATCTGTTCCCTCTCAGTGCAGCTGTTCACATGTCAGAACACAGACAGATTGTCTTCACCAGCTTGACACTGCCTCACTGTAGTCACAATTCCACATTCTTCTAATGGACAACCTGATTAACTGTTCTCATGGTCTCGGTGCCATGCCTTTTGCAAATGGGGTTTTGGCCTTCAGATCTGTCTAAATCCTTATCCTGAAAAGTGCTCTTGTTAAGACTATCCCCGGCAGCTGCATCTCTCAGTATTAGTGCTCAGTGCACAATGCCTTGCTAAAGTATGTCAGCTATTTCCCCTCT